ATTAATACTTTCATTTTACACTGAAGGTAATCTATCCAACTTCCTTAAAATATATACATTTTTTCCTCCCGTATATCTGCAGTTTGTTCAAACGTTAATCATTGTTCTCCATTTCTCAAGGAACTAAGGAATTCTAATTTCTGTTTTCTTTGATTATTTTCAATAGCCTGTTACAGAATACAATGGCTTTACAGTAGAAGATCGACCTGGTCAGCAGTGGATCACCTTGAGAGGCAAATCTACTGAGGATGAGCACATTAAAATTGAAGCTACAATGTTTGACGGCTCAGTTTGCTCCCCACCGTCTGCTGCTGAATGCAGCGGGGAAGATGTGCGTCTTCATATTAGCTTGCTGGTTGACATATGGAAGGGGGATGGAAATGAGTTGTTGGAGTTGGTATGCTCAGCCTGGCCAGACTCCTTAGAAATTCAGAAAGTGTACATATTCAGACGTGACAATTCACCAATTGGGCCTTATATGGGACCTAATGTCAGGTATGACACAGTTTCTTTCTTTGAAGTGTAATACCTTAATGCTTCTCAAAATTACTGAACCATTTGATGATAACGGGCCATTTATGAGGTGGTGATGATAAAACATCAGGTCTTGCTCCCTTTTTCTTTTTTTGGGTCCAAAATCTTGTGCTTCCTGTAAGTTGGTTCCTTTGATCAATAATAAAAATTATGTTGATCGTCTCACCAATTGAGGCTTTGTGGCAACACTGGGATTGTGTTTATTTTCTTCAGGGGTTTGAAACTTGCACTGGCGAGTGGACTTTATGAGTTTCTGAGGACAAGGGGAGTAAATGATGACCTTTCCTTATTTTTGCACGAGTACATGATGAACAAGGATAAGGGTGAGCTCATTAATTGGCTTGGAAAAGTTAAAAAGTTCTTCGAAACATAGAGGTATGATTTTTGTCTTTCTTCTGTTAGACTGCCATTGTCCAACTTTTGTCTATAAAGTCTGTACCGGATTCGAGTTGGTACTATTCATGCTTCTACATTAATGCATCATCTGAATCAATTGAAATGTGGACTAGGTGTCAGTAAAGAATATTTTGCAAAACCATAGTGATTTAGTTGTCTAATTTGTCCACTTGTATATGCCAAGTTGTAACTTATATGCAGCGTGGAGTGGTTGTCCCAGGAAATGAGTCTCACTTTTTATTTGCATTATGTTCATGACTATCTTGAGTTGGTGGAAGAAAATTTCAGTTTTGGTACTTTTACTCTCTCATCCATTAACTTCTTTCTTTGTTCTTTGCATTTTCGATCTTTTCCTAAGAACGAGTATGACCAAGACTCATTATAATCGCTACTTCGATTGGTGTTTGTCATGCTAAATGTCACATCCAATAGCAGCACTCCCTATCAAAATCTGCACCATGAAAAGTGACAATCTTTTGTTGTATAGAGAACACAATGATTAGTTAAACGACTCATTAAGCTCATTCTGATGTTGTAGTATGTATTTGCAGTTGACAGCTTCACATTGTTGTCGTGATCTTTGTCCAATCATGCATCAAGGACTATAAACTTAAATGAAACTTCTGATAGATCCGTGAATAGCTTCTGAAGTTGGCAGTAGGACACTCAATTCTCTCGAGGGAGATGGAAAATTTCATTCTTTCCCTCCCAGCAGAAGTTTCCTGGCAGAGGAAGAATTCGGGTACTTTTCCCTCTATGGTAGCATGTTGCTGTCAGACTATACTTGGAAGAAATCATTTGCGTCTCAAGGAATCCTCAACCTTGAGTGTCAAATGGCTCAACTGATACATTTCCGGTTCAGTTGAATGAAGCTTATGTTGTTTCTGAGTCATTCGAAGCTATTATTTTTACATGTGTGTGGATACGATATTTGCCTGATTGCTTTAGAGAACCCTTAATTTAGTACTAGTAGTTTTGTAAAGTGGCTGACAATCGATTTGATTGTGACAGTGACTTAGAAATGCCATTATCTATTCCATACATTTCGTTTTTCTCATGAGCAATTCTATCAAGCAATCTCCAGACTAAAAGAACTTCAAAATTTTAATCAATTTTGGTTTCTAGGTTGCAAAATTTTTGCTGGAGAGGAAATTTAGAGTGACTTCAATGCTACCTCTAAATCTGTAGTAGAAGCGCGCAAAGTATTCCAACATCTCGTAGTTGGGCTGTGTAGGAAAATGGTCGGAGAGATCTATGGAAGAAAAGCCGAGGATCTAGATATAAAGCTTCTGTGGGGGTAATTCGGTCTTTTCATGGCATCATGTGTTTTGCACATGACCAATTTAATAAAAAACTGGGCATTCCTTGCTAATTGCACATGATTATGAAACACGTAATATCATGGGGGAATTGTTGCAATTGAACCATCAAGAGGGCAGAGGGAGAAGAAAATTTTTTTGAGGGGATATTTTAGAATAAACCTAAAACAAATTTTAAAAATATTAGAAGTGTTTCGTTAAACTATTATAATTAAGAATACTAATAACTGATGCAAATCAATTTAAAGCATCTTTACGGCTATAAGATTATACTTCATCATAAAATGATGAAAACTTTTGAAAATAAAATTAATAAAATATTTAGAAATCATGTAAGGACAAGCAAAATAATTATTTTTAAAAAGTCACGATACACAAAAAGCACATAATATTTTAAACAAATTGAGTTGTATAAGATAGAAAGAGAAATAGAGAAATAAATAATTATTGTGTAGTTTGCTGCGTGTGCTGCAAGACAGGGGAGTGAATAAGGAGGATAGAGAAATTATTTACTTTTATTACAAATATATTTTCCAACATAACTTTTTATCTTCTTAATCATCTTTTTATTTGTCGCACATCACATCGCAAAAAGTGTTATAGTGATTTTCTAAATAATATTTCAAATAAACTCTTATCCAAACACACTTAAGTGTTTCTATATCTATCAGTTAGAGATCAGAATGGCGTGAGGAGGGATGCGAGGATTAAAAAAATAGTGAAATGAAGTAAATAAATGTGTGCATATTAGGTGGGGAGGCAAAGCATTCATTGCTGGCGTGAGAAATACAGGGTTCAAACTCAGGAATGGCAATAACTATAACCCCTCAATGACAATGGGTTTTTGAGGGATTTTCTTTGGTGTAAATACGTGTTTGGTAGCAATTGCATTGCTATAGGAATAAACTCATTTTTATTATTATTATTTTTTTGCATCATCTCTGTGTCTTTGCTACTCAACAGAATTCCCAGTCCTCTTTCTCAGTCTACACCAAGTTCTTCGCCAATTGGTGATGATGGAACAATCTCAAGAAATTCAATGATCATAATTCAAATTTCACATTTGATTTCATGTGGTATAACAAATCAAACAAACCAGAATCCATAGCAAATCAACATCAAAACCTAAATATGTTATTGAAACATTTCTCTTCATATTATGCACTTGAATTTATGATCAATCAGCATTAGTATAGCCCCGTAAGTGCAAATCCTTCTTAGCCATTAAAAGAGACATCATGGCAGCAAGAATTAGACATAATTGACTGCCAGTGTTTTGGATCTACTACAATTTTGAGTGCAAATCTCTAGAAAAAGAAACCCATCATGGCAGTAGATCTGCCTTCCTCAGATTCGAATATCGATTGGGAGAAGAGCAAGAGTAGTGGGGAGAGAGAGGAAAGTTGAGCCTTTGTGATGGAAGAAGAGGAGAGAGAGGAGAGAGAGGAGAAGGGAGAGGGGGGAGGGGAGGGAGAGAAGGATGAAGAAAATGATCCTAATGATCCTATGTAGAATAAGGCCATTTTCGATTCCGAATTTTGACAACATTGGTTTTTCTTAAAGCACTCCCAGACAATGCAGTCTAAACGGATTGATCGTTGGTTGGGCACGTAAAGAATTCTCATCCTGATCACAATCAAATAGCTATTTCCTTCAGCAAATGTGTTGACTTTTCTTTCATTTGCCAAGTTTGTCTTTTACCAGTTTCTTAACAATTTTAATTACATCAACATTTAAAAAACTTCTTAAAAATTTTAAATTACACACTTTAAAATATCCAAAACACATAAAAAAATTTTCCTTCCTCCTTTCTTCTTCCACCTCAACCCACCACCACTTCTGCTGCCAGCCTAGACCGGCCGGCGTCGACCACCTCTTTTTTTTTTCTTTTTTTTTTTAAATTTCTCTCCTCCTCTCCTCCCCTTTCACTCGCCACCCTCCCCCTTTACCCGATCTAGTCGAGCGATCAAAAGGCAAGCTTGATCTGGTCGGGAGGGGGAGGGGGAAGAGGGGGAGAGAGAAAAATGCAAAAAAAAAAATTTGTTTCTATTGTTGCAACTTCCGACTGGGGAGGGAGAGGTGGCGGGGAAGGAGAGGGGGAGGGGGAAGGGCGAAGAAGAAGAGAGGAAAGAAAAGAAAAAAGAAACAAAGAAAGAAAAAAGGAAAAAAAAAAAGTTCACCTGTAACATCTACAGTAAGTTACAGTAAAATTTTAGATAAATACTCAAAAAAACTCATTTGTCAAACGGCCGTAATGCTTTATGTTTGAGAAGTTTTGAGAAGCAAAAATTAGATGCAGCACTGTACCATATAGTCAACCGAGTACGTAGAAAGCTAGCCGAAACGTCTCAAAAAAACCAGCTTTTAGCCAAAGAAAGCCTGCATGGATCAGCTTTAAGCAACAAAGAACAGAACGACACAACATACTAAAAATAAACTAAGTTTCTAATATATAACACACAATGTAGGCAACAACAAACTTTAAAAAACATGTCTAGCTTTTGCCAGCAAGGCATAACATCTACAAAAAACTTATACCACCTCCATTTAACCTACTAGTTAGTTAGAAAACCATCAAATCTCAAAACAACTAATAGCTTTAAAGGTTCAGCAACGACATGCTTGGTGAAACCAAAATCCGCCCACCAAAAAAAAAGGAGCATCCCAAAAAGTACCTAAAATGCTGTCCAATATCCCTTTCCATGAGCAATCCTTAAGAATAACCAACAGAGAAAGATAAGAGGGAGGGAGGGAGGGTCTCAAGTTAATAGCCATTGCATATAATTATACTAACACACCCTGTAAAAAATTTATTGACAAACCAGACGGCATGTACAATCAATACAATATACTGAAAAACATGCTACAAGGCACCCGAATGAGAAAGCAGATTGCTTGCTATTTTGTTAACCAATAAATCAGGATTAAAAACGTGCAGACAGCGGCAACTAATGAGAGGATGATGGTATCCATCGACTTTTTCTTCTTAATGGCTGAAAGTATATGGTTGACCTGCAAAGATGCACAGGCATCAGTGAAACTGGTACATAGTCTAGTCAAAGAACCATTACTGGCTCCGAAACTTATCCAACATGATTTCTCCTAGAGAATCATGTAATGGCCTAAATTCTTGCATGTATTTAATTTCACTAAAGTTGAAAAACAGCAGCTAGTTTATTATCATGCCATTAACATAGAAGCAGTTCACCTTCCCCTAGCTCTTCAAAGATCCAGTTAATAGCAAGTAAAAGCAACATGTAACCATTAAAGTAATAATAAGGTTTCTTACTGTTGGAAGGCGGCTGCCAATATTACTAAGCTTTGAATTAATGCCCCCAAATGTAGACCGTTGAAACATGAGTTTTAAGGGTTTCTTGAGCTTGAGAGATGACAGTGTCCATCTGTAAAAGAGACTCAATTAAATATGAACCTTTTTTATGAGAAATACTTGGTGGAGGCAGATGGATCAAGAACTTCAAACAAAATCTCTCAAACTATAAAATGGAAGCCCAAATTTCAGCAATATAACTACATTAGGTTAGTCAATAGCAAGTGGGTGAAAATTCTTAAATTTTATCTGGGGAATGTGCGCCCATATGCATTATCGTGCAAGTATGTTTGCCTACATTTTACTACAACTAATTCTCCCAGTGTTAGTTTTAACAGACTATTTTACTACAACTAAAGTAAAAGGTTGATTAGATTTGCCTTCCTTGCATATCAACCAAACTACCACTAGACACCTGAGCAGTTGTAGATACTACAAGAAATTCCTTTTATTTTGCTAGTCTAATAACACAAAAACACTGCAGTTACAAACCAAAGTCTGTTACTGCTGAAAGTAGACAGCCATGACATACAATTCCAAAATGCCCATAATCTTTTCAAGCAGCTTGTCTATTCACTTCTATCTACTTATTCAATAGCCAAGAATCTCACTTGCACGGAGCAAGGAATGCTACTTATTCAATCCTGCAGTAACAAGGAATGCTGCTTCTGTACCAGCAGGATCTTTCTTTTATACCTAACCATCTGTCAGCAAAGGGAAACTTCAACAACACTTGAGGACCAAAAGTCTACATCATTACTCAAAAACAATACATTGAAAACTAGGAATGGAAATGCTGAATAGGTTAAAAGCTCAAATTCCCCAAATATGTCTTATAAACATCAAACTTCAAGCTCCTTAAAAGAATTTAGCATTCAATCCAATCTAAAACCAAGCAAGCACAACCAGCCCAAGAATTTCAAACCAAAGTATGATTCCAAATAAGCAGAATTATTTTCCCCAGCTTTTTCTGCTAAATGATACTCACCAAATCCATCATATTTGTACTTACAGAATTTTTAGCTTTTTACTCCAAATTAAATGCATCTGCAGAACACTCATCTGGGCTTGCACACCAACAATAAAGGTACTGCAAAACATTTTTGCTAGCAAACAAATTTGTCGGCTCTGCACTATTTGTTGCTCTAACACTGACAAAATTATACATTTCTTTGTAAATCTAGAAGAATTGAAAGGGTTACTTAATCAATGTGCAAAAAAACTGCAGATGTTTCATCAGATTAAATGGTAGGGATAAAAGGATTGCTTCTTACCTGCCCTGTACTCCTAGTAACAGATGCACGCTCCTTTAGTAGGGCTTGCTCATAAGAACCACCACCATCTTCCAAGTCTAATCTTGTCCGATCAAACTCCCTGAAATCCTCTAGCAATGAAGCATGCTCTTTCTTAGCTCTGTGACTGGAGCGCAGCCGGTTAAACTCCTACAAACACGGAGCATATTGAAATTTACATTTAGTTAAGCATCATGAAAATGGCAATGCCTGATGGTTTAATACAAGTTTCAAATCAGCCTAACTTACTTCAATGCCTGTATGCATACTTCAAAGCTAGCGACATGAACAGTGAGTTTTGAAACGATGAGAACAAAAATTATGAGAGGCTCCTAGTCTGACAAATTACCTGTTTTGTACATACATATTTTTATGAAAACATAAACTTGCATAATAAAGCTCAGAAAGAACGTAGAATACGTAAATGTGTACTTCGAGCCATTAAGTAAAGCTTGTAGTTAGCCATTATATTTGGAATGCGTAAGTTGACATATTTAATATTAAGGATCTATTGTGTACTGTCACAAATTTATATTACATTTTATTATCTGCTCATCGATATCCACAATGATCCCTTGGAGGACATGAGTCAAAGTGCTTAACATAATTAATTTCAGTCTTACAAAAAGGATTTTAAAAATATTTATGAGCAAGAATACCTCTTCTGATTTTAGCTCAATAATTTGAAAATTTAGTTCAGATATCTGAGTCCTTGACCTTCCACATTCTCAGGTGGAACAGGTTAAATAAATATAATAGTGATGCACGTATGAGATTACAAAAAGGAATACATAGAATCAGCATTTTTGAGAACACTGAGTAGGCTTAGAAAAGACCGATTAATTGTTCAACATCCCATATAGATAAGCATTTCTGCAGCTTGACGAACACTGATTGGGCTTAGGAACAACAGTTCATTTCTCAACTTCCTATATAGATGGTGAATGCATTGATGCATTCTCCTCCAATCAAATGCAGAAGTAAGATTTTATGAACTTAAAGACCTGAGTAAGATCTTGAAGAATTTCTTGATGTCGAGTTAATGTATGAGAAAATATTTCTGATCCTCCTGATGAAACCCAAGCTTGCATTTGCAAATTCACTTGATGAAGATGTTTGAGCAATTGATCTATTCCAGATTCAAGATCACTGTCACTAGTGCTATCAATCTTTGTAGCAACTAATTTACGATACAAATGCATCTGCTCATCCAATTGTGCTTCCAGCTTCCTTGCCTGGTTATGGAAAAGAGAAACCAAATGGTAAAGTTCATCAAAACCATTAAACAAATGCAAATAAAATTTAAGCTTTCTTCTGGTTGCATGAAAGGAAAATCATAGGAAAAGTTTTTCAAAATCTATTAAAAGAACAATAAAATGAATCTCCCTAGGCTTGAGTCAATTGAATATGAGAAATTGGACATGTGAAGATCAATATTTTACTATAGTGAATGTTATGAATTGATGAACACTTAAGATCCAAATAAATATAGATCTACTGCAGAATAACGAATAAAAAGAAAGAAAAAATTAGAAAACTAAAACACGATGCATATCCTGAAGGCAAGTTTTTAAGTACAAATGAGAACCTACAATTAATGAAACAATACTCTACAACAGATAGGCATTACCTTTGCCAAAACTAACTAGTTCATCATAAACAAGAAGACTTGCTAAAAGCCTGCCACATGTGCTTAAGAAAAGCAGACATGCAGATCTGGATTATTGTCATTAGTATTCTTTTTTTTTTTTTTTTAAATGAGGCAATATGAGGATAAGATTGGACAGGTATGCGTTAAAAAAAAAATGTCTTCAAAGAATCTCTTTAAGAAAGCATATACATTTTGCATCAAATTAGAATACCCATATCAATTCATTATATGAAGAATCTCCTAGGATACAGTTAAGAATGATTCGGAACTGGATTATATTATCTCTAAACAGCAGAATAATCTACAAAAACCAATTCTATTTTAAGCATTTGGGAAACCATGTTCATTAAAGACAAGCCATGTCACAAACACCTATTTACATGCTCTCGGGAGTACCTTTTGTAAGTGTTTTTTAAGCCCATCAAATATCCTAGGACCCAAATTTTGATGAAACATGCATTTGACTTGTTTTATGAAAGATTGAACCTCAAATATCTTTTAAAGAGAAATGCTAGCACTGTCAGGAAGGGCCAGCCCTTGGAAGTTGGAAAGCATGCAGAAGTTTTTGGTTGTAAGACAGTCAGATGCACCACAAATTGAAGTCCAGAAAATTAGTAATGGGGGATCCATCTTGGGTGCATTGCACTTCCAGAATAAAGAGGAAAAGCAATAATCTCATCGAACAGTACAATAAAGAGCTTAGATGTAGGAAATCTGTAGCGACGTATTCTGATTTTTGAAGAACGGAAGACTTGTTTTCTCAGATTAGATGTAAGGGAAATCTGCCAAAGCATCTCACATCGCTCCCTATTTAGTGCAAACAATACTATGAAATGCAAAAAGAGACAAAATGTGATGGTCCGTTTGTCAAATTGTAGCAGTACTTAGATGTCTGTAAGGTAACGAATGAGGGGAGTTGCTACAACCATTCCTAATAAAACCCCTGATCGTATTTCCGATACGGGTGATTTGAAACAAACAACTCCTCTTCGAATTGCGGATAGAACATATCAACGCATCAAATTCAACCTAATCCAAGTACCATAAACTGCAAGGACCTAGTTATAAATCGCAATGAAAGGAATTTAAAAAAAAGGATAAATAGATTTGAATCTAAGAAAGAAAGGGGCTCGATTGAAATTGACAACAAATGAATAAATATGAAATGAGTCTCGAACCTGTTTCCGCAGAGAGTCCCAAGAGCTTGGCGGATCCATGTATGACGAGAATTCAATCTAAAACCCAAGTTATTCGCCTTTGGCTTGTTTTTGTTTGTATTTCTTATTATTGCTGCTGGGGGAAAAGGAAAGCTTTCGCTTTTTAGTTTCTAAACTATTTGGATCGGAGGAGAAGATCGTCGATCTTCCACCAGAATTTGGCAGAGACTGAAGATTGATAGAGGTGGGGCGCAATTCACCCGATGCAAGATTAGATTTGATGCTAGACCAGAAAAAAAAAAAGAAAGAAAGAAAATGAATTGTTATTATTGTTATAGATTTGATGCAATTTTTATTATTGTTATCGTATCATTTTTCGTTTGGCCCGTGGGGGTGAGTCAGTGGCCGCAAGAGTTGGTCGTAATTGAAAACTGGTAAATTAATAGCGTTCGCGCCGTGAAATTGAAGTAAAAGAGAACTGATGGAAGTAGTAATACCCTATACTATACCAAGTGGTACCCATATATTTCTAGCCTATGGTATTGCCATCAATTCTTGCTGTTCTTCTTACCCCAAAATTTTTTTTTTTGAAAAAAAAATTCAGTTCTTGCTATTCTCCCGCTTGGTATTGCTTTTGTCCTATAGAAGACTGTAGATTGAGATCTTACATGTACCAAATGCTAGAAACCCAGATACTTTACGCACTGTTTTTGAGTCCTATAATGAGAACAAACTCAGCTTGCTTCAAAAGTGCGATGCATGGGGAGGCTCACACAGAGTAGATCGTAACTAGGAGATACAATAATAGTTTAAGTTCACTTCAACCTCTGAGGATCCATTCCCCAGTTGAGAAGCATTTCACCCTTTAGAATCTTTTTTGAAGTTGAAACTTCAAACTCGCGACTTTTATAGGGCATTAAACTGAATTGTTGCCCACAGTTGACGTGCTTCACTAAGATTCGACCTCCAATAAGCATAATAATTGCAGTTCAAGGGCACTTGCAAGATCATTTTCCCAAAATCAACATCCAAATTCCACTAAATACATAATTAACAAGATATCAAACATCAAAAATCCCAGGTTAAGCTTTGGTTTGGAATGAGAATACAATTAAGTTCTATTGACTGCAACATATCTTCACGTGTAGATTGTTTCAAACAGTACACGTACAAAAACCAGCTGTACATTTTGTTGAATCCGGTAATACTAGCATGAGATCTCCCCAGTGATATCAATCTAAGATGTTTCATATCCTCCAATACCATGTTCTTTATCAATCCATTAACAAGAGTTAAGAAGACAAGGGCCATCCCTCTCAAGTCTCCAATTCAGGATGAAAATGAAAAGATTTTGTCAATAAGTTACAAACGCTCAATTTATTTCATGAGCTGGAGTATTAGTAATTGGGTCAATATCATCCCGCTTTTCCTTCCTCATTATATCAGCAAATACCATTTGGACTGTTGGCATTTAGATCCGCATCCTCCTGCTTATCCTTCATTTCTATATCAGCAGTATCAGCCGTACTACTAGGATCCCTGTCATCCTGATTTTCCTCCATTTCTAATTCAGCAAAACCATTCGATAAACATTCAGCTTTGGTCTGAGCTGAAAACGACCCTGCAGCAGCAGCATATCCAGGTGAATTGACCTTTTCTCTGTCAAGGTTAGCTTCTACTTGATCCTCTACCTCCATGGCTGAAAACTTCAATTCAGTTTCTACCGCAGCACCACATGCAATGTCATCTTCTCTAAGTGCAGACAAGGAGTTGGGTTGCAAATCTTCAGACTGTTGGTCATCTTTTACTGTTCGTTTGTCTATACTAGGAGAATCGTGCTTTACTGAACCGAGAATTTCATCTATCTCATGGGCAAAGGCTTCAAGTATGAGGAGGTTGTCTCTCAGCTTGACACTTGCTGATTTGTTGGATAAATATGCATCTAATGAATCTCGTGCATTTTCGGAAAGTACATTTGAAATCTACAGATAGAAGTTGAGAAACGTGAGCAATGTATTAAGACTGTTTCCACCAAATAGCCCTTCCAGTAATGCTATGCATTTGGTTACCTCATTGTACAGCCGAGCCAAATCCAAATGATTTGGTTTGACATCATGAGCTGCTGCAGAGATACCTTCAGGAGCTGCAGTGAAAAGGGTCAACAAAAGATAAAGGGTTAAACATTACACAGCAGAAGGTCTATACAGCATCCGCTTACAGTAAAACCATATTAAAGGTTGCTCTTTGTCAAGAATCTATGGGTTTCTTTCTACATCCACAAAGAGCAAGCAGAGGGAAAACAGAGACAGGATATCGTTAGACTGAAGCAGCCAAATTAGCTGCCATATGTTCTGTTTAGACACACTGAAGCTGATAAATAGTCGTGAACAAGTATATATGGATGGCTTAGAGTACCAGGACATTCAGTTTTAACAAGCCCGAAATTAGAAAGGCACATTATTCTGCAAATTAAATAGAGAGTAGCGTTCTGAAAGAAAATCAATGCTTGGGGCTTTTGAAAGAAGTATTTGGACAGATTTCATATTATGGAAATAACCTTGTAAATTACTCTAAAGCACACTAGCACTTGAGAGAACAGTTCTAAGGAGTAACTTCGTGGATTGATAACTGCATCCAACAGAGTAAGTTGTAGCCAAGAGTCCGACAGAAGATATCTTCAAACTTGGAACTTCAAAAAGTTATAATAAAAATAAAGTTGGATTTTACTTGATTCCGGTAATCCTACTTCAAGGCCCTATGCTACTTGGACTTGTGCACAAGTGTCGGATATCGGTACTGTCTAGGTGTCAAATACATTCATTCTCTAAATTAGGATAGTAACACTTTCAAAACTCAGATATGGGAGTACATGCCACTTTTCAAGACTTCATGGGATATCATTGATTTTATCCATGAAATGAATTAATCTTCAAAATGATGAAGATTGTACTTAACTCTAGCAATACTGGTGAAGTAAAGCCCAAAAGAGTCTCTTCTTCACCATTCTCGAGGGAAGATAATTGCTGTAACTAAAAAGCTTGGTCTTCAACAATTCTTAGCAAAGTCATAGTTTTGAACAAAAGGATATTTTACTAACAATGTTAAAGCATCAGAATTCAAAGATACAGCAGTAAAGAATTCCAAAAGAAGTTTAGGCAAAACTAATAACAGTATCAAATAAAGACACTTGCATTTTACCCATTCAAGGTTTTGGTTTTAACCAAGAAGAGTCCCATAAAGAGGAAAATAAATTAGTATCCAGATCTGAGTCTCATTACCACAACAAAAAAATACACGCATCTTCAAGTTGACCTTTAAGCAATAAGATGTCATACTTACAAATGATTTCAATTTGAGGCAGGTAATAAACCAATTGGTTATATGATTCCTCAAATTTTGAAGCTGGTATATCTTTAACCTTGGGTTCAGTCTCCAGTACATCGTTATGCATCTCATTTGATTTTTCATCACCCTGTAATTAAGAAAGAGCCAAAAATTGTAAACAAAGTATATGGAGCCAAACAAGTGTAAAATGATGTAGTATTTGTTTCATACCTTGCAACTCACTAACTACAGCCTTTCTAAGTATTTTAGTCTAAAAAACATGGAGAAGTATCGTAGACCTACTTTTGTTATTACATGACTTAATGATATAATCATATGCAAATCATTCAAGACACAGATGACAGAGGTACATATGAATCTAAAATAACCAACTTAACTGCTAAATTATCCAACTTTTAGTCATCCCTTTAAATTTAATGCTAACTCAAAGGTTTCTGTTGGTGCAATTATGACCATACAAAAAGGTCAAAAAACAAAAAGCAAGAAAACAAAACTCGATTCTCCTCCATTACTCCACACTAACTTGGTCCCATTTTCCTACCCCTTCCTCTTGGCTCCATAACCGTTCTCAGCTCTCCTGTGGCCCTTTATTAACCACTGCCCCATATATCTATTTAATCTCCCATTTAAACTGCATGGCCAGTGAAACAATGTAAAAAACACAATCAGGTTTAACAGAAAACAAATTGCTTCTATCCAACTTCTTATACAGAGTCTGATAGAAAGTCATATGTAGAATGACGCCAACTAATTAACCAATGCTAATAAATATACTTGACATTTTTATTCACTGAATTAGGCTCTAAATTTGGAGGACTTCATTATTGTTTAAACCACAAGAGATTATTGCTTGGACTTTTGTCGAATGTTAGCTCTGGGAACAGGGAAATTTTTCTGTGCTGGCAGATGAGGTGGATATTGATGAGGGAAAAACTGGTGAAAACAGTAATGGATATTTTGAAAGAAATGCTTGTGCTTTCTCCCCTTAATAGATAAAGACTATACCTTCTGGAGTTTTGCAAGTCGGTTGAGACCTAGTGGCCAAGATATTGTGATTAAAATATTTAGTTTGCTACTAGGTTTTTTTCCTATTCTTTTGGGTTCTAAAAGAAAAATTAATCACCACTAATGAACTAGAGATCAATAAGAATACTAAGCACAGAGATTATCAATGACTCCTTTCTACAACATAGTGACGTTTTGTCAGACAGAACTCTTAGTGAATATTTCAAGAGCTTGGTGGGAAAGGACCAGAGAATTAGCTAAAAGAAACATACATCCAATGCCAAATACAATTCTATAGCACTTCAAATCTGATGCAGCTGAAACAACATCCAATGCCAAATACAAAGCACTTCAAATCTGATACAGTTTTCCAATAATTTGCTCCTGTGTCTACACATAATTATCTTTTTGCTGTTTCGAGGACTTATTTAACTCTCCTATGAAGTATGCAAACTTGGAATACCAAAACGCTATTAACAGACCCATAATAAGAATGAGAACTTACAAAGATTTCCTTTTGATACTCAGCATTAAGTGCTTTCTCCAAAAGCAGGACTCTCTTTTTGATAAACTCAACTTGTCTTCTCTGCATTTCTCTAAAATGGTACAGTATTGAAGAATCCTGGTAAAACTGTGGCTGGCTTCCAGAATCAGACATTCCATGTGCAACTCCAGCTCCATTATCATTTCCTGTACCAGTTTCCTTCACCTGGTTTGTAAGTGTTTCAGCACTAGTTGCATTCACACCATTTTGAGCTTGAACTTCTGCCTCTTGAACGGGAACTTGAGACACCTCGGGAGCTGGGAATTGGGTTTGGGGGGCACTAGAAGCAGCAAGCTGAGATTGTGGAGCTCCAGCGACTGGTATATTAATAAAGGGAAGGTTCAGCTCTTTACAGATGACCTCTTGGATCTTTAGATCCTTGTCATCAACAATTGCTTGCCATCTACCATAACCGTGTCTAGACATCCAAACCAATACAAGGAAATCAAGAGACTATATGCATACAATCAGAACATAAAGAATTAAAAAATCAAACAAAAGATGACGTCCAGTGTCTGCCTGCCTGTATGTGTGCACACACTCTCAAGCACATGGACAATATGGGCAGAATTGAACTCTCATGAAAAAATAATTAGGCAATATTCTTTTATGCTTTTTTTTTCTTTGAAGAGTACCCATTTAGTAGTCCCCCACCCCCCAAAAAACACCTCCAAAAAAAGAAGGGAAACGATGGAGGAAAGGAAGCATACTTTAACACTGCTCGCAACAGAAGCAG